CTTCTCCCAGCTGTTTATAGAATATTTCATCTGTCTTCATCCTGGTTGGGCGGTCTACAACAGAATCCCACCATGATACCTGCCTTGTTGGTCTTTCCCCTGATTCTTACCCATAAACAGTTGACCCTTTCATCGCCATCGTCAAGCTCTAGACAGTCAAAACAGTCTCAGCTGCTGATGCTGGAAGGGGCCTCTCCAACGACTCCGGTCACACAAACCTGCTCATTTCAGTGTGTCCATGGGCAGATCGCTTCATTAAACATGAACCTGATCTACGAGTGACTCCTCTGAGTGAGCACACGAGCTGGGAAGCTCTCTGGGGCCAGCTCTGCCTCCTCTCCCAGCAAACCTCCGCAGGGCAAGAGACCTCCCCAGGACATCCCTCGATGCTCAGCGCCTGCTTCATGTCACCCCCCGCAAAGGTCCTTAGGAGCACACGGCATTAGCTCAGCACGGAGGGACATGTGGGTGCACGTGTCCAGCGTATTTATATATATACAAATAAATACCAGCTTATTTACACACACCGGTGCAACATCCATCTGCATCCTTGCGACGAATGGTACAACTGCCGTTTTGGGTCATTTACATCGAATATCTGATCTCAACTCATAAAATAAGCCAGCTAATGAAGTCTTCTCCAGACACCCATTAAGAGTCTATAATGCTAATTTTATGTAAAAATCCAATAAGTTTCCTCACTGAATTAACATTACAGACCTGCAGCCGACTTTTACCTCCGCTCTGGTGGTGGCAGGAGCGCTCCAGGCATCCCCCTGGGAAACGGTGCACCAGGAGAGCAAAGCGAGGGGACGCTGCGCATGGCGCCCTGCTCCCCAGCTCCCGTCCCCTCTCCCCCAGGTGACAGGACACCTCCCCTCCAGCTCAGCAGATCTGCACATCCCATCACACCGTCACACCCACGGGACAGCCGCTTTGCAACAGGCTGATTTGTAAAGCGGCATTCATGAGCCCCCAGTGCCCTTGGAAGACGAATGCGGGAAACCTCCAGTGCCTCAGTTTCCCCTTTGTAAAAGGAGGATAAAAATCAGTTCTTTATAACAAGGTTATACTCATTAAACTTGCATCTCCCTGAGGCATCTACAAAGATTACGGTACAGTGAAGCAATGCCAATGCAACGCTAATGCTAGGAAGCCAGGCTGGTTTGCTGCTGCCACATCTCTCTGGCTCCAGCTGGCCAGCCCTGTGCTTACCGGGGATAAATCCTGGGTGCTGCAGCCAGTCCCGTCTCCCCTTGCAGAGGAGAGGGAGCTGAGCGAGCAAGGCAGGGGCTGCAGCACTTCCAAGGCAGCAGGGATGGAGCAGGACAGGGCCGCCTGCGGGGCCGGCACAGTCCCCAGGGCGGCAGCACTCACCCATGCGGAGTTGGACTGGTTGAGCTGGTTGAGCATGACGATGGAGGTGCAGCCGTAGTCATACACCAACCGCCAGAAGTCGGTGGTGGTGTTCTGCAGCGGGTGCAGGGTGACGATGAAGGCAGCGCTCTTGGTGTAGCTCTGCAGAGAGGGAAGATGAGCACCGTTAAGGACATGGTGGCGGAACTGAAGCCACTGCTGTCGCACCCCCAAAAAAAAGAGTGCCACCGAAGCCATCTTCTCCATGGTTGAGCAGAGCCGGCCTCTGTGGAGGCCTTGGTTCCTCCATGCCCTGGGGAGATGCTATAAAAACAGGTCTAAGTGATCCCTGCCCTTGGTGGGGACGAAAGCACCCGCTTTCTGCTCTTGGCTCTCGCAGGGAAGGGTGTTTCGCACAAGTAACTAGGGAAAAGATGTCACCTTTGAGCCAAGTAGAAGCCGTGGCTGCCAGACGGCCCCAGCCCTCAGCTCTGTGCCCTGGTCCTGAGTGAAGGCATCACCCACGGCATCACCCCCACAGTGCCCCAACACCTCCGGGCACCGAGAGCAGCAAAGAGACAACGGGGTCAATGGTCTTTTCGGGCAGGAAAGAAAACCCAAATGAAAGACCTCTAGAGACTGCAAGGTGCACGAGATTTGTCCCCTTGGTCATCCCAATGCTGGCTTGCTAAGGGACGGGGAGCCCTCGGCCGGGCTCAGCGCTGCAGCAATCAGGCTTTTAAATTAACACACTTTAGTTCATGCCTGTTCAGATACAGGAACACAGCAGAAAATGTTCTGTGCCCGCAAATTAGCACAGCTCTCCGCTAACGGAGAGTCCTCTGGCTGCTGCAAAACCTCCTCATTTAGCTCATGGAAATGCGTTATCAAACCTCTCCTCCTCCCCTGTCCGCGGGGCGGCAGCGAGACCCCCACTTTCCGCCCTTGAGGAGGGCGATGAGAGCAGCGGGGCGAGGGCGATTTCATCAGGCATTGACCAGGCTTTCCTTGGCACCCGCAATCCTTTGGCACCGGTGTAAGTGACGGCAGCCGACGCGGAGCAGAGCACGGCTCTGCCAGCCTGCCGCGGGCCCCGCCGCACCGGTGATGAGCAGCACAGACCAATCTCATCTGACAGACAGATGGACCGAGCAAACCACTTTGGCACTTAAGGAAAATGAGCTTTTCCTACACCCCCGCCCCAACAGGGAAATGGGTTTTATCCCTTCAGCGAGAACTTCATCCAAAGGGCTTTTTCCATCTATAAAGAAATTTCTATTCTCTGACCCTGTAGCAGAGATTAAGGGAGGCTCAGTGGTGTATAAAAATAAAACGGACATGTAAACACCAAGCAAGCTGAAAACAAAGCTCCCACCCCACGGTAGCCAAAGCCCGCAGCCCAATGGGTGCCGCTCCCCAGCCACCAGCAGCCACCTCCGCTTTACAAACTGCTTTTTGCTGCAAGAGCAGGTAACAGGGAGACAAGATCTGCACAAATATCACCCATGGGGTGAAAAAAACAGGGCTCAGCCTGGTGCTGGTGCTCAGCTGCAACCAGGAGGGTTGGGGGAAGGTGCCCGGGGTGCGGCGGGGCTCAGCGCTGCCCGTGCAAAGCACCCCAGGTTGTTACGAGGAGAGGAAGGTGGTTTCGGTGATAAATGACCCATCGCTCGGTGCGGGCTCGGAGCCTGCGGCATCCTCTCTGCTCTGCTTTGCGGTCGCTCAGCAGGTAGGAAATAGCTTTGCCATCATGAGTGTCCTTTCTGACTGCACCAGGGGGATGCACGGTGGCTTTGGGAGCAGTTCAGAGCCCCCTGAATTGCACCAGGAGGACAGGCAGGAGGACGCGCGGCAGGGTGCTGGCAGCACGCGGCAGGGCTTGGTGCTACCAACCCCTCCCAGAGCTTCCTCTCCCTCCTGCGCTCCATTTTGCTACAAAATAAATGAAGGCCTTTTGTGTGCAGCTTGTGAGAGCAGCTGAAAAGCTCTTTCAAGACAAACAAGATGCTGCTACACAAAAGAAGGGTTGAAGGACCCTGCTACACCGGTCCCAGCCCTTCCTCCCCCTGCACATAGCTGCCACGTGCCTTTGTGCAAAACAAGGCCGTAAATTCAAACCGAGTGAGGTTTTGCCGTGAAAAGCTGCCCAAGACAACCCAAACCGGCCCCTTCCCTCCCCGCAGCATGCTCACATCAGTTAAGGCCGCGTTGATGTAGTTGTTGCTGTCTCCGTCCACGGAGATGAGGAAGGGAAGGCATCGGTCGGGCGGCAGGACGTCCATGCTGCGGTTCCTCTCCCGGTTGCGGGGCAGGAGGGCGATGCTGCACTCCTCCACGTCCAGGTGGGGAGTCACTGAGTTCAGGGTCTGCGAGTACAAGTGCTCCCCTTAACTCCCTGCCTGCACCCGGGCCAAAACGCCTGCCCGCTGCTCGGCAGAGCCTGCTGGTCCCAGCGGTGGTGGGCACCAGGAGGGTGAGGAGCAAGGGGGTGCTGCAGGGGGGATGCAGGGGTTTTGGGGCCGCTCACCTGGAACTCCTCCCGCAGCTGCGAGGAGTTGCTCTGCGGCTCTATCCTCACCATCTCCTTGTAGGTGGGCTTGAACTCGCTGGCGGGGATGCTGGTCTCCCCGCACAGGCAGGCTTCCAGGATGGCGTCGTGAATGAAGACGTACTGCTCCTGTCGGGGTGGGAAAGGAGAGAGGGCTGAGCCTCCGCAACCTGCTGGCAACAGCAGCCCCACGTGTGCCCGGCTGCTCCCGACACCCACTCACCTCCGTCTGTATCATGTTGATCCTTCGCGAGCACAGGGTCTTCACGCAGTTGTAGATGTCCACGACGCCCTCGCACTCGGCCATGTCCAACATAACGTCCAGGACAATGTAGCAGCCAGTTCTCCCCGTGCCGGCGCTAGGGATGGAGGGGGAAAACACAGCAAATGCATTCCCAGTCTGCACAGCATCCACACACAGCCCGAGATGCCAGCAGGCATGGAGCAAGGTCTGTGGGCAAGGGCTCAACATACAGACCCTGCCCATGGATGCGGGGGCAGGCAGGGTCCAGGCAGCGTTGCCAGGACCTCGCACACCTCCATAACCACAGCCCAGTTTTGCCTTAAACCACCCTCCCCGCCACCCGCCCAAACACACCGCTACAGCAGCCCGGGGGCTGCAAGATGGTCAGGAGGCAGGTGGGAGGGTGGGCACCCACGTCTAAGGTTCATTTTTGCTTTAAAACAGGAAAACACAGGCTTTTTGCAACAAAACCAGCAGCTAAACCATCTGAGTGCCAATGGTCCTCCGGGATCCCATCCCAAAAGGGCCAACGGAGGCGGCAGGAGAGGAGGATGCTCAGCCCTGAGAGCACAGGGAGGTACTCTCAGCACGGAAGGGGTCTGAATTCCCCCAGGGGGGACCCTCAGGTTAAGGCTGAGCCCAGCAGGATGCCTGGAGCCAGATGACCCAGCAGTGACAATATCCCAAATCCCGGCACGCTTGTACTCGCAGCGAAAGACCTACTGATGCGGCAACCCCCCCATGACACGTCGGGAACAGAACGGCTCCCCCCACTCCTTTCCTACAAAGTCTTTTCCAATGAAATACTAATTTCTGGGGCTGATGAATCACTCGTCGTGATTATCAGTGATTACAGGCTACGAGCACTAATCACACTCGCTGTTGCTGGTGAATGAATACTGATGAGGCAATTGACAGGGAGAAATCAAATAAAAAAAAATCCCTCCTGCTCATCAGCTCCTCCTTGTTTGCCCAGCGGAGGAAAAGCCATTAACCCGTCATGTGGGGACGCCTGCTCAGGGGACAGAAAGCCACCGCTCCTGCTCAGACACACCACCAGTGTCTTCCGAGCTCCGGTGTCCCGGTGGCTGAGCCCTGCAGGCAACCCTGGGAGCGGGGCTGTCCTGCTGTCCCTCCCCACCTCTCCCTTCGGCCAGACCCAACGTCCTGACCATCAGCAGCAGTCGAGCTGCCCGTCCCCCATGCCACCCTCACCCATGGGGACAGAGCTGTGTCATCAGTAACACGTGCTGGGGTGGCCCCCGAAAAAGCACTGCTCCCTGCTTGCCCCCTGGACCACCCGCAGCCCCCCCTTCCCTGCTGCCACCAGCCCAGTGGTGACATTTACAGCTGGATGCCATCGTAGAGGGACATCCAACCTCACACCGTCAGCACCGGTGCCTTTTCTGCCTCAGCCTTTCCTTGTTATGAACCCAATTTATACATCTTCTATTTCCCTGCTGAATATTTTAGCATCATTTGGAGCTTTTAGCATCATTCTGAGCCAGAGGCTGAGCACCCACCTAAAACACAGCGCTCTCCTTTCCCAGGACCATCCATACCCCATCAAAGGCCACCCCGGAGAGGGATGCTCCCCTGCAGCCTGCTCTGCCCCACGGCCACGCACATACCTGCAGTGGATGACGATGGGGCCAGCATCGGGCGGCGTGGACGCCTTCACCCTGCGGATGAAGGCCAGCAGCCCCGTGGCGTGGTAGGGGACGCCGTGCTCGGGCCACGACGTGAAGTGGAACTGCTTCACCTCGTGCCGGGCCGAGTAGCCCCGCTGCAAGGGAAGGGTGAGATGGAGTGAGGGTGCACAACCCAAACACCTAATTTTCTTGGGAATCCATGATTATGCCAGTTCAGCATCCAGCCAGATGGACCACACAGCGGTTGGCTGCTTTGACAGCCCCGCAGCTCCCTCCTCCTTGGCTGCAAGAGGGTTAAAACATGGGTCTAATTCCACGAGTATCTTTGCTACCTGCCCTGCAACTAGACAATAATTTCATATTCCTGTAGATTAAGGGGTAAATTGCACCAGCTTCATCCCCAGGTACCACGCTGGAGAGTAACGACCACATAACCTGCACTCCAGCCCAGAGAAGAAAAAGCATCCTTCACTCTCGTTGCAATTACACGGTGCTCACATGGAAATTAAATACTCACTCACTGCCGAAACCAAAGCGGGGCTGAGCCGCTCGCCCTGGCAGAGGACGCAGAGCCAGGGAAAAGGCAAAGGAAGAAGCTACCAGCATCCCCAGGGCTCAGAAGCTGCAGCTCAATCAGGGGTGAGAGCCCCACGTTGGGGTAAATAAACAGGATATTGGTAAATCCCAATCTGGCAATGGTTAGAGATGCCCAAGGCGGTTGGTTCTCTGTCAGAGAGCAGGGTCGGGCAGGTTGCAGGTGGTAGGACCGGTACCGTACCCTCTCGAGAGCGAAGGTGCGGACAGCGTATTCAGCCAACGTCTCCGACTTCACCAGGGTGATCTTGATGTCCCCATACATCTCAGAGTCATCCGGCCAGTATTTGGAGCATTTCACCTGCAAGCAGAAGGCAGGACGGGGTTTTGGCTCTGCGGAGGAAGCTTCTGGCAAAGCCGGAGCCCAGAGGGAGAGGGATGGGATGGGGTCCTTACCCGGCCCACCTCCACCAGCTTGGTTATCATCACGATGCTGGAACAGTGCTCCTGCCACACCATGCGCCAGAAGTCATACACCATCTCCTGCTTGGGCCCTGCAGGACGGAGGAAAGGCCGCCGAGGATGGACAGGCAGCACCGCGATGCCACCACGTTTCCCCTCCTGCCTCTGCAGCACTAACACCTCTGTTTGGCCCCGAATTGGCCCATTCCCTCCCCTTCTTGTCCACACAAGGTTAAATCCCACCAGGGACAAAACCTGGCTGCTACATCAGGATAGGACCGGCTGAACCACTGGCTGAAAGGGCAGGGGGAGGAGGCGGCTCACCTTGTGTGGCTATGAAGTGGTTGGACCTGTGGTAGCCCTGCAAGGGAAGCAGAGACATCAGTCCCAAGCTGGGGAACGCTGGGACACTCGAGAGCTGGGGCACAGCCCCCTAAACCATTTCCCAGTCACCCAAGTGGTGGCAGCTCCCCACGTCCACCGGGCCAGGTCCCGGCCACCGGTGCGGTGCTACCCACCACCGCAGGAGGAGGAGGAAGTTCAGCAGCCACCCTGCAGCCGGTGCACCCCGTCCTGGGAGGGTGCACGTCCCACATGCCATGAAAGGCTCATGGAATGCCCACTCCTCATCCCTGTTCTGCACCAAAATCCCCAGCAGCACCCCACAGGCATCCCAGGGTCTGCTCGACCTCGGCTCCTGTGCTGCTGGCATTGCTGCCGAGCACGGCAACGCCGTCACGAGAGCCCTGTTAATGGCACCCCACCCCGCAGCAGCCACACGGCACTGAGCAACGGCCCCGCTCCCCTCCTTCATCCCAGCCACTTACTGGGACCATTCCCAACTCTTAACAGGGACGTGCCAGCCCAAAGCACATCCCAGCGAAGCCGCTGCCAAAGGGACTGGTGACCTGGTGTCCCACATCTTGGCCATGGGTCCAGCAGAGTTCAACCGTGTCACGTGCATGGAGGTGACGGCAGCTTCTCCATCCACCACAGGTCCTTTTGCGGGGGATTTTTGTGGGCTGAATTCAACCCCTCTTCCGAGCACGCAGCCCCTGCTCTCCATCACCCCAGGAAGGACGTGCCAGGGAGACCTCACTTTCCCCTTCCCTGGGCTGCACCCAAGTTTATCCACACATTTTCCCAGCCTGCCTCTCCCAGATGCTATTTAATGCCACGCTGCCCGCTACAATGCCTGGGAGGAGAGGGAGCAGAGAGAAGGAAGGAGAGGGGAACCATCTACTTACTTCTCGGTTAATCCGAATCTTAACGATTCCGTTGAGACACAAGTTTGAGAGAAAAAGATCAGAGACAGAGACATTAGTGAGGCACAGCTCAAGAGACAGGTTAGAGCACCAGCCCCGGAGCAGGTCATGGAGAGCCACAGGGGAGAAAGGACACACAGGGACAAGGGACAGGCACAGGGATGCTGTTTGGGCACAGGGAACCCATCACGGTGGCATCAGGCCACCATTGCCAGGTGACAGCCTCTGGAAAGGAGGGAAGAGTGGGACTTGCTGCTGCTTCCAGGAGATGCAGCCTTCCTGCACCTTCCCTCATCTCGGCATCACTGGAGGCAACAAGGGACATCACTCTTGGGCAACCTCTCTCTCAGGGGACACCAGGGCCGAGCTCTGCTCAGGCTCACACGCACCGACAGGATCGGGGGGTGTCCCAGCCTGAGCCCCCAGCCGGTGCCTTGGCCCACTCAACCTCTGCATCCTCTGCCCAGGGAAGAGGGAGATCCACGGCCACGAGAGCAAGCGAGGGGAGAAGAGAGAATGGAAAAGGGGAGGAGAAAGGAGGGATAGAGCAGAGCAGAGAAGGAAGAGACACAGCAAGCAGAAATTGCAGATGAACATAAATAAATCAAGGCAGGCTCTTCATTGGCATGTCTCGGGGCCACGCGGCTCAGCCTGTCCTGGGCTGTCACAGCTCCTCCAAATGCTGCTGGTTCTTTGGGGACAGACCCTGACAGCCCACAGGGTCCGCGGGAAGCTCCTGTCCCAGCCCAGACCCCCTGTGGAGAGAGGCACCGTCCCCACTTACATCGATGTAGTTGGCATTGATGTAGTCCGAGTTGGGATCGCCCAGCAGCGGGTGCAGCTTCACTCGGTGACGGTCGTCTGGAGAGCAAGGGGAGAAGGGACCATCAGCGCCCGGGGGGATGAGCACGGGGACGGCATGTCACCCCGCCGGGTCCCAGGGCACCCTTTGCAATCGTTTTGCACCAGGAATCTGCGAAACGCAGGCAGGTGGGTTGTATTCAGGAGCAATAAATACAAGCTAGTGGAGGTCTTTCCAAAGATGCTGGCTTAGACCAGCAGGGACACGGGGGAGCAGCTTTCAGCACGGTATCTCCCTGAGCTCTGCCCAGTCCTGCCAAAGGCAGAGGGCACCCACCCTCCAGCACCCTGCCGTCCGCCCCGGCAAGGCACCAGGATGGCCAGAGCCCAGACAGGTGAGCTCAACCTTCGGTGTCCACCTGGGGCCCCAGACAATGCTGGAATGGAAGGGATGAAGCTGTGGAGCAAAGCCTGGGGGAGGTGGAGAGCACCAGAGCTCCTGGAGGGCCAGGCTTGGTGACTCCATCCCTGCAGGAATGTCACCGGAGATGCAGCATGCAGCAAGGTGGCCATACCATGCTGACTGTGGAGGGAACTGGTGAGGAGCATCCTTTATCCTACGGGGTCAAGCCCTTCCCCAATCTTCTGTCCTAAAAACTCATCCTTTAATGCCTGTGTCTCATCCTGCACATCCACACCAGAAGCTCCCTAGGGCAAGGCTGCAGTTCCTCCTAAGTCCTTACAAGAAAACACACCCCCGGCTATCTGGGGCCTTCCAGCACCACCCAGAATATCACGGTGATGTTACCATCACCCCAAGATATCCCATCCTCAAGAGTTACGCAGCTCCAGCCCTCCTATTTGCTCCAGTGTCCGATGCCCAACAGGGAACCCTGCACTGAGCAAGGACCTTTCTGCTGCCCTTGATCAACCAAACCCCACCAGTTTATTCCTTGTCACAGACCGCACACCTACCAAAAAAAGCTCCCAAAGCCCTTTAGAAGGTTTTTAAGCTGTTCAGGGTGTCTAAGCCTTTGCTAAAGGCACTCACATGTCGACACGTGATCCTGTCTCCCTTTGGTCTTGTCTTTCTTCTTCGAAGCATCCCAGCCTTCAAAGAAACTCTGTAAGGAAGGGATGGCTGTCACGACCCGAGGGCAGGACTGTGGGGTCCCCCCCAGCCCCACAACCTTCCCAGGGAGCCGGGCAGGCAGGGTGGTCCCTCCACCCCAGCAGCCAGGTCCCGCAGCCCCAGCTCCATCTCCATAGCACGCTCAGCCAGCTACATGCTTCTGATGCATCCACAAAATGCCCCATTTTCCAGCAAATAATAGACTGCCTGTTTTTTTCCCAGGGTTGGTTGTGGGTTTTTTCTAAACCTCCCCAGTCCCTTTCTCTCCCCAGCACAGAATAGGTTTGTGTGTAATAACAGTAACATTCATAGATTGGCATAAGAGGAGGGAAGTGGAAGGAAATTACATGTTTCCTCCCCTCGCATAATATCTGAGTGCTTTCAAATGACTAGTTCCAAGAACATACAGCAGCTTTTCAAGGAGCACTAATGATTATAGCAAGCCCTGGTTTGTCCAATACATGAAAGCGGGGGGGGGGGGGGGAGGTGGGGGGGAAAGCTTCTGCACTTGAAACAACTAAGCATTAAACAGTAATTTCACTGGGAAATTTCAATCGCCAGAGCTGTGGGACACCAAGGAGTCAGGAAATCAATCCCGCTGGGCATGCTGCAGCAGAGGCACATGGAATAACGCGCTCCATTACAAGCGCTCCAGCCCCACGAGGTGGGATGGGCACGATGCGGCCAATGACCCTTGGGAGGGACTTCCCTCCCTCCGGGATCCCCCTCTCCCGGGTCCTCTCCCTGGGGTCTTCACGGTCTTGGGAGCCGTCAGATTGCAGAGGATTTGTTTGTCCTTAGGCTATGGCCATGCTTATCACGGGACAAGTGTGGTGGTGAGCAGAAGAACGTCACATCGTGGTGCCCAGGAGGACCTGAGAAAGAAGAAGCATCCCCGGCCCTTGCAGGAGAGGCGGGATGACGCACAGCAGACAGGAGAGGTGCAGGCTGGCTGGCGGAGCTGGTTTGGCTCATCCCAGGGACCTGTTCAAGCTTACAAGTAAATCCTGAGCTGCCAGGACCAGACCCAGGGACACCCCACGTGCTTATGATGCCTGTCCAGAGAGCTGTGAGCTCTGGCTCCTGCTGTCCAGAGCACTGCACCTCCAGGTCTGGAGCATCTTCTTGCATGCATGTCCTGCCCGTGCCGCCTTGTCCATCCTACCTCACAACCTCCCTGAGACGCCAGTGCAAGATGCTCTCACCTCATACTCCTGCTTGAAGCCATAGCCTTCTGCTGTCTTCATTTGGTTGATATGCTGGAGGAGATCCGCCACCCGCACGGCGGGATGGAGCTGCCCGGTGTGATACGGGGACCCTTTGCGGCCGCACTGGCGGCGGGGGGAGCCCCCCAGCAAGCTGCTGGACTCGTTGACCACACTGCTGCGCTGGTCGCCTGCAGAAGGGGAGAGAGAACCGGGGACCGTCAGGGGAGCAAAGCCATGGACCGCATCCCCATCACCTCCTCGCACCCACAGAGGAGGACGAGAGGGCACCTGGAAACATCCCCGGGAGATGCTGGTGCTGCAGCCCGTCTCTCTCCAGGGGCCACAAGTAGGCCAGACCCTCCCTGTGCCCTCCGCAGCTTTTCCTACACCACAAAGCCAAAAACATCCATTACAGCCTTTTAGGACCACAGCAGATCTCTTAGAAATCAGTGGGCAAGACCTTAAGGGGGTTAATAAGCTTATTTCCCATCGAATGGAGCAATTAATTCCCATCTAGACGAGTAAGAGCAAATATTCACGAAGTTCTGACTTGAAAAATCCTGTTGCCGAAGTCTCCAGCCCAGCTTAACAGTTAATTTTCCTTGCTGCTAGATACTGGCACCTTATTCCTAGCACTGACACAAATGGAGCTCACTGCTGTTTAATGGGGGAGTTTATGCAGTATTTACCTGGTTTATGCCTTTGCCATGTAATTACCAACGGAGCCAGACTAAGACCTTGCCTGCGGGTGTCAGGGCAAGGTCCCACACCAGATCCTGAAATCTGGGTTTGCACAACACCCGATGCTCTCCGCTGCTGCCAAGAGATGCGGCAGGCACGGATCCCGTAGCGGCAGGCACGGATCCCGCAGCACCCAGCCTGGAACATCGTCCACACGCTGCTGGGAAGCGGCTTTGCAAGATGGTGCATCCTGGATGCGGTTTCCCCTAACAACACTTCTAAAAACCGCCCTTGCCAGCTCGCAAAGCTCCCAGGTTTGTTTTTTGGGTCTGCTTGAATGCAAGGAGCAGCCTCTCACCCCCTGCCTGCACCTCCCAGCTGCCCGTGCAACATGGGTGCAGTGTGGGTGCAACATGGGTGCAGCACATGCACAGAGCAGGTATCCATCAGGCATCACAGCCCCAAGGAGGCGATGCTCCAACCTCTGCAACCAGAAAAATCTCCTTGCGGGCTGCCAACACGTGGCTGAACCAACAGAACAGCGCGGGATGGCCACGCTGCGCCCCGTGGCATGGTTGACAGGCACACCGGCTGCTGGTTTAATAAGAAATTAATTGCAGGCATTTGCAAGGTGCCGACAGCTCCGCACAAACACGTGCTGAGGACCCGCTCCAGTTTCTGTGAGCGGTATTAGTGACTATTTTTAAATGCAATGAAACTGAAGCATGGTGGGGAACAGCCCCCAGCCGGCCATGGAGCAGAGCAGCCCGTTCGTTTACCTTCGTTAATTAACGACGCTTATAGGCGGGGGGGGCCACAGCGGAGGCTGTCCCCAGCTGTGGCAGAGAGCCCAAGCTCCCCGCATCTCCTCCTCCACCAAGCAGAGGGATGAGGAGCAGCCAGCAGCAGAGCAAGCAAGCAGGTGGGAGCAGGATCTGGCCCCACAGCCCCTTCCCTGAAGAAACCGAGGACCAGCAGCCCCAGCTCAGCCGAGACCCACCAGCCTTTGAGCGTTTCGAGGACAATAACCAAAAACTAATACACCTAGCTAGATGTATTAAGAGGAAGAAAAGTTTGCCCTCTGGGCTTCTATTATCCATAAGACAATGCCGGGAAGTGTATTAATCCCGCAGCCGGCAGAGAAAAGCTGTGGGTAAGCAGCATCTTGAAGTTACTGTAACAGATGTTATTAGCATATGGTTGAAACTGGGGCATCCAACGAGTTATTTTACAACTAAATCAGCACCGAGATGCATACTCCAGTAGGTTTTAAATTATCAGTCTCCCTGTGATGTAACCGCGGTGGCTCTTCAGCCCTTCGAAGCCCAGGGCTGCTCAGAACACCGCGGAGCAAAGCCACGCCGGGCGTGCTGGGTGAAGGCTGGTGCAAAGCTTTCAACCTTGGCGTAAGGCAAAGAGTTGGGGTTCACCCAGCTTCAGGGGGCTGCGGCCAGCGTTTGAGCCCACAAATGGCCTCAGCCCTCCCAGCCACAAGCTCAGATCTCCGCTTCCAGAGATCGAGATGCAGAGACCCAGCGCGAGCTGCCCACGAGTGTTTTTCCTTCAGCAAAATCCGGATGATAATAAAAGCTACTACAGACACCGATAAGATCGATGCCCTTGGAGGTCTCCTTGCAGGGCACAGGAAAGCCCGCAACGTGCCACACACATCAGGCTAAAATAGATGCAATACCCACTACCGAGCCTTGGATAAATATTTCAGCAGTTTCTGGGATATTTAGGGATTACTGGGGACCCTCGTTGCAGCTGGATGGGAGCGGGGGGGATGCTGCGATTCCCTGTCCTCACCTCGGTTGCCGTAGTTGTGGGTGTCCATGAAGGAGAGCCCCAGGCGCTCGTCCTCCTGCAGCGTGCTCTGGTCGGTGAAGCTCCTGTCGATGGCACTCATCATGTGCGTCTTCTCGTGGCGGTAGTTAATGGTCGCTTTGGTCATGTTAACGGGTTTTCTGCAGGGGGATGCAAAGGTGAGGAGGGGGAAGAAGCACGCGTAAGCAGGGCTGACCCGATGGTGCTGTAAGATCCCCCCAAAGCTACCAGGCTCGGCTTATTTTGGGGAGCAGGATGGATTATTTCCCCCAGCGGTCGCCACACTTTGGTTTTGCAGTGCCCCAAGCCGTCACAGCCCCACGTAGATCATCCCTCACCAGCTGTTCATCCTCAGTGTCCCCTCCTGTCCCCTTCCCAAAATGCCCTGTGTCTGGAACAGCCGGGAGCACTCCCTGGGCAAGCGAAGGCTCTCCTTGGCCGGGTGGTCTGGCACAGGGCAGCCCCAGCTCTCCTCCAGCCCCGTTTCTCCAGGAATTACCTACCCATCGTCCCACGCCACCAACATGGACCATCCAACACCCCACGTGCATCACTGCACACTACAAGGGCAAGAAGTAGAAGACAGACGTGGACCTGTTGGAGTGGGTCCAAAGGAGGCAACAAAAATGGTCAGAGGGCTGGAGCACCTCTGCTGTGAGGACAGGCTGAGAGAGTTGGGGTTGTTGAGCCTGGAGAAGAGAAGGCTCCGGGGAGACCTTATTGCTGCCTTTCAGTACTTCAAGGGTCTTATAAGAAAGATGGGGACAGACTCTGTAATAGGCCCTGTAGTAACAGGACAAGGGGTGATGGTTTCAAACTAAAAGAGGGTGGATTCAGACTAGATATAAGGAAGAAATTTTTTACATTGAGGGTGGTGAAACACTGGCACAGGTTGCCCAGAGAGGTGGGAGATGCCCCATCCCTGGAAACATCCAAGGTGAGGTTGGACGGGGCTCTGAGCAACCTGATCGAGTTGAAGATGTCCCTGCTCATTGCAGGAGGGTTGGACTAGACGACCTTTAAAGGTCCCTTCCAACCCAAACCATTCTATGATCCCGAAACCATGCCGGGGGGGCCAAATCCATCCCCCAAGGGACAGACCGGACCCCCTGACTGCACCCATACTCAGCACCCACCAGGGAGGCTTTTCCCACCTCTGCAAGGTCCCCAGCAGGCACCCATTGAAGACGCTGGGAAAGCCCAGAAGCTCTTGCTGGGACAGAACTTCACACCCCAAATTCGAGATATTTAAGAAAAAAAACTGATGGAGTGTTTTTGAGAGGTAGCACCAGGCTTCCAAGAAGCCAGAGCAGAGATTAAACCAGGGGAAGGACGAACAGGAGATCTGAGCCCACATCAGCATCTCGGTGGGGCTGGGACACCACAAGACACTGCCAAAATCCAGAATTCAACCCCAAGTCGCTGACCCTTCCCCTTTACACTGTCTTTGGTCTCTGACGTGCTCGGTGGCATTATTTTCCCCCAGCCAAAGAGGCCCTTAAAATGTACTCGGCAGAGAAAAGGACTGGTTGGAGTAGCAGGGCACAGGGGGCGGCCGGGAGGAAGGGCGAAGGAGAGAGAGAATGACGATTACTTACGGGTAATAAGAATAAGAATAGTAGTTCCTCCTGGCAAGCATGCAAACAAAGAGAACAGCAGACATTGCATAAGCAGCTTTTCTCCAGCATAGGGAAGGGGGGTTACGGGGCAACTCGACTGCCGGAACATTAAATGCACCATAAAGAAACCTTGCTCCCCTTCTGCATCCATAGGTGATTTACTCCGGGCAGGAGCTGGCGTCCCAACGGCAGAGCCCAAACACCAGCTCGCAGGGTGACCACAGTCCCCGCACCGGCAGCGGAGCGGCCATAGCACCCTTGTCCGAGGGGTTATTCCACAATGTTTAAGACTGAACAGCAAACGTGTCCAAAATGTTGGGCACCCCTGGGGAGCCAGTTAGAGGCTCAGCGGGGAGATGGGGTCAGGACGTCGTGTTCCCAGTGCACCATTTATTAGGGGCGAGAGTATTCTGGGGGTGCATTTCCATTCCACCACATCAGTGTTTTTCCAATGGCAAAATGCTCTGGAGGAGATTTATGGGCTCGTCCCAGCTTCCCAACAGCCCCAAATTCAGGTCCCTCGGCACCGGGTCTGATTTGTGGCTGTGGTTTGTCCTTTGACAGCCTCACAGTGGGATGCTGAAGCAAAGCTGCTCCTCCTCCTCCTCCTCCCGCCCCACAGCGCGGGCAATGGGAATGCAGCAGCCGCACTCATGGCTTCCTACTCATCGTCCCAAAAGCATCACTCCCAAAAACACATCGGCACCGCCAGCATTTGCTCCATCAGGGACAGATCCAATGCCATATGCACAGGCATCATCCCAGAGCAACAGCGGGCCAGGAGCCACAGCCAGTCCTGCACCCCTCGCAGTGCGCAGAGATGCTGCAGCCTTGCTTTTCCAGCTGGCATAAATCAGCAAGAACCCTTTAAGGGAGAACGAAGCCATAAAGAGATCTGCAGATTTACACGGGCTGAGGTTGTGCCCTGATATTTTTCTCTCCCCACTGGCTGTTAACGTACTTTCCTCCCATCATCCCGAGCCCTGCACGGGGAAGGCGTTTAATTGCTGCTCTTTCTCCCCTGCTTTGAGAGCCCCCCCGGCTCGGCACCGCCTCGGGCCCCGCACGGTAAGAAGACGCCTTCCAGGGCGCTGCGCCTGAGTAAAAAGCAGCGACCGCATCCCCAGTGCTCCCGGGGATGAGTGTCCCAAAAAGCCCTCGCCCTCCTCCCTCCCACCCTGCTGTGACGGCCACGGCTGCATCCATGCTGGCCGTGCTCGGCTCCCCAGAGAGCAGGGACCCCCGCAGCAGTGGGAGATCAGTCTGGGGGTCCCCAGGGACTGTCACCCCTGGGAAAACCTCCCCTCCAGCGTGTACCCAAATTTTAACATCTCATTTAGAGCCAGCTGGAGGCTCTCAGCAAGGGATTGCTCATGTTTCACCGGTAGCTCAGCGGTTCCCCATTAAAACAAGCCCAGGAGGATGCAGGACGGTCCGAGCACCCGCAGCCCAGGGTGGGCAGCCCCCTGCCCAGCCCTGGAGGAAGGGGAGATGCTGCTCCTCCCAGCACTCTCAAGGAACCAAAGCCCAGGACAAGGGCCAGAGTCTGCCCAGGTATTTCAGCAGGGCACATTGCAACGCACCAGGCAAAAGCTGTGGATGGAGGTTTTTTCTGGCCATCACCCCAGAACCGAGCACCCCCGGGGCTCTGCTCCCGCCAGTGCTGGGTGCTCAGCCATCGTCCGGGGGGCACAACGGAGGGGCAATAGCGGAAAGGTGCAATTCACCTCCTCTCCATCTCCAGGAACGCCAGGTCAATGCAAGGGAATCATACATGGCCCCATCCCTAACCCACCCCCACGGTAGGGTACCAGCACAGCCAGACCCCGGGCAGCAACACTCGTGGGATGGATCCAGCCACGGGCTGGCCAAAGCAGCAGGGAAGCGCAGAGACAATATCTTAGTGCAGATCAAACTGATTTTTGTAGTTTTGGGCTGGAGGGGTACAGGGCTGCACGCCCCAGGGTCCCCTGGCTGCTGTTAGCAAAGATAGAGCTGGTGGGACAGGGACAGCCAGGCTCAGCGCCGGCCCAAGGCCCCTCTGAGCCCAATCCTGGCCAGAAGCATTTCCATCAATACAGAATTGACAGAGCAGCACAAAGCCGAGAAGGAGCAGAAAAAGAGGCAAAAGAGTGAAAAATACAGGGGACCGGGACAGTGGAACAAAGCTGCAGAGCCCCAAGGGTGAGTTCCCAGGACTTTGCTCCTTGGTCCCCAGTGTCCCCAGTGCCTCCTGCCGTGCCCAGTGTCACAGAGCAAGGAGGGCACAGTGCCTGGTGGGACGCATGAGCGCATGGAGGCAGAGCTCAAGGGAGGGTTTGGAGTCTGGCCGGTGCAGTATCACCACCAGCAACTCCCAGTTAGTGCTGGGGTGGTGGAGAAGGGCTGAGCTGGCAGGAGGGGACAGATGGAGGCACCAGCCACCACACTGGGTGTCCTTACCCTTTCCGAATGACAACGATGATGGCTCCCAGGAGGATAATCAGGACGATGAGCCCGCCGGCACAGATCCCCAGGATCAAGCCCATCTCCTCCGAGTGCTGCGACACCTCCAGCGGACGCTTGCTCTCTTTGCAGGCAGCTGCCAGGGGACAAGGACAGGCAGGAGGGGTCAACGCTCAGCTCCAGGGGCAGCTGGCAACATCAGATGGGAAAACACTGGGATTTGTCCCGTGGGATGCACATTGCTCCTTGAACACATTTTATTCCACCGAGACATTACGGGGCTCTGCAGTGCCACACCATGACCGTGGGCGAGTCCTCTCGGTTCCCGGGGGGTGAGACGGTCCCTTTGTGCCACCTTCTGTCACGCCCAGCGTAAGATTGTCCATCCCCGGATTCAGCACCACCAACTCCAGCCTCCCACCGCGATAACGGCATTAAGAGGAAAAACTCAACCAAGGGAAAAACCCAGATACCAAAGAAAGTGGGAAACAACAGCGCAGGATGGGGCTATAATAAACCATCGTGTGCACCCCAACTGAGGGCAGCGCTGTTAACGACACCCACCGGCACGGCCCCGACCGCCGGAGCAGCCGCAGGTTCGGGTCCGCAGCCTCGGCGGGATCACGGCAGTTGGGAAAGGGAGGGCTCACCTTTGCGGGCGATCCGGACGCAGTTCAGCCGGGTTTCCTATGGAGGAAAAAAAGGGGGGTCAGTGTCAGATGAGCATCCCAGCGGCTCCGCTCCTGCTCTGAACGAGGCTGGGCAGACGCAAAGCCGGTCCCGTTGGTGCTTTGACCTCCAAATCAAGAGAGTTTGCAGGTGATTTGTGCTGCAGCACCCACTGCTGAGCCAAAGGAGCTCCTGGGGACACACACCCACCAAGAGATGCTGCTGAACGATCTGTTCCCAGCGTCCCCTAAACCAACGTCCCCAGGTTAGCCAAGACCATCACTCCTGGCTCAGAGACAACAGCAAAGCTCAAGATCATCAAAGGAGGGACCCAGCCAAGCCGCAGGTCACCAGCACGTCACCGACTACAGCTAAGACACTCCCAGGTCCTCATTCAGAGCTTCGTGGGTTTTTTTTTTTTTTTTCCATCAATCAAAGTTTACAAGCCCCATCGCTGGTGCTCTGCGTGTGCTGCCGAGGTTGCCACGACAGCTTCCAGCTCAGTTCTCCAACAGTTTTAGCATTTGCTTTTTTAGGGATGGGTTCAGCTAAAATATTCCATCTTTCCGTGTATCCAACTTTTGTTGCAAAATATAAAGCACCATTTTGGCAGGACTGTCTTCTTCCCCGAGCATCCTCCAGCCCCTCGGGACACCAGTGCTGGCAACACTGCTCCATCCACCCTCGGACCGAGACCTGCCCACGCAGCGTGCCCGGGGCAGGGCCAGCTCCAGCACCGCTCTCCCCAAGGTCACCAGCTCTTGCTTCTCCTGCTTCTTGCTCCATCTGGCATAAAAACCACAAAAAACCCAAGCTGAGATCCAGCTTTTTCGCAACGTCTGACAGCAGCCGGGATGAATCCATTGCCTCCCAGCAGGAAGGCTATAAAACAGCGTCAACCACCAGTTATTATCCAGCAGTGCCCAAGCAAGCCAGAGCTGAGATCCTCCGCGTCCGTCTCCGCTCTAATTACAACCCAGCGAGGTGTGAACGATCCCAAGGCAGAGGAAAGGATTCAAAAACCGGCACCCTTCTGGCAAGACGGAGCCGTGCAGGATGAGGATGCTGTTGCGGTCCTGCTGCTTCGTTTTCCCAGCTCATCCTCCCCCAGCTGGGACGGGAGCTGCCGGAGCCAGTGAAGCAGAGAAGGGTCCCCAGGGGGTCCCAGTGGTCCCACAGGTGCCTTGGAGATCAGCCCGGGGCAATGCAGGGGCTGCTGCCGGAGCGGGATTCTCACAGCTTCGACGAGAGAACAGGCAGCAGCAGGCAGGGAGAAGGCAGCCCAGGAACTCGGCAGCTGCCCAGAAACTCTCTGCGGCAGCCGCTGTGTCAGCGGTGGGTCCCAGTAATGTGCATACAGCTCTTGCTGCCCAAATGGTCCTTTCCCACCCCAGGATTAGCCCCAGGAAGGTGGTATCCCCAGCACTGGCACTGGCTGGGGTCCCGGCCGGTACCACATTGGGTGGTGGAGGCTGGGCTCCATCACCCCCAGCACTGGCACTGGGAAGGGGACAGGCACAGCCCAGGGGTGCCAGAAGGAAGGGGGACACCCATCCGTGATCCCAACGTGCCATAAGGGTGGCCCGGAGCACCAGCTCCCTGCGGGCAGGGCACTGGGGGTGAGCCCAGAAGGGGGGTCCAAGGGAGGGGGATCTAAAACAACTCCCATTTTTTCTGACCACCCCCCGAGATCCCAGGTGGGCTCCTGCCTGGTCCAACCAGGCCCCCAGACACCCCACCGGATGGAGCGGGGTCCCACAGCTACTCACCCCTTTGAGGTTGCTCATGGCTTGGAAGTAGATGAGATACGCCTTCTTGGGCTCCAGCGGCGGGTTCCAGTAGCCGCTGTAGGTCTGATTGTCCCCCACGGTGAAGGGTTTGGCTTCGGTGAGGCTGCTGGCAGGCAGCTCGGCCCCGAAGTAGTGTACAGAGCCACGGGACATGGCGTCATCGAAGGTGAGCGGCACCGGGAAGCACTCCTGCCCACCCAGCTCCCGCTTGAGCTTCTTGGGCTGGTCTTCTTCTACAATGACCTGGTAGGTGCTGGTGAAGGCCAGGCACAGGTTAGCTTTGTGGAAAGGATGGTCCTGCCCTTCCCTTGGTGCTCGAGCCCGCCGTCCATGCTGTGCCACCCCGTTTGTGGAGGTCTTGCCCTCGTGCAGCCCCAACCTACCTGATGGGAGCCCCTCTGCCCTGTGCCGGCCGCAGAAGCACCGTGATGGTGCTCTCCGACTCGCTCAGCGGTGACGGCATGTCCCCGTAGTCAAAGGTGGGAGCTGCAAAGGGAGCAGGGGAGAGCGGGCAGGAGTGAGTCCTGGTCCCCAGGGATGCGCTCGGGGCTGCCCCTGCTCAGGGGGGAAACTGAGGCACGAGCAGCCTTGCCCACAGCAAGGCATCACTGAATAGTGTAATGTGGATTATTACAAAGGAAGAAAACCCCTCCAGGTCTTGAGCAAATGTCGCAGTTGGGAGAGGACCTGCGGGTGGGCACCAAGGGGGATTATCAAGGCCGGTCTGGCAGAGGGGAGGAGACGGCAGCAGGATCCAACCTCGGCAGGACCCGGCCTTGAGATGCACCCCATGTGCCTGGGGACGGCACAGCTCCAAACCACAGGCACAGTGCGAGCATCCCACCCAGGGCAGAATCACACTCAAGCCAGCCCAGCAGCACCCCCAGACCAAGGTGGGGGGACCCCCTTGGGCCTGGCATGGCCCTGTGGTCCCCAAGCCATCACTAGCAGCCGCTGGGGTCCAGTTCGCACCACCTTGCCGTTTCGGTGCCCCCATTAGGGCTCATCTCAGCCCATTTGCTGCAGCTAATAGCGACGCCGCAGACATGAGCAAACAGCCCCAAGTACTGCAAGGCTTATTAACAAAGCCCCATTAATCCCTCGCTTGTACGCCGATAGCTCAGACAGCACTGGCGCGCCAGGCTGGCCGGACTCCCCAGCCAGAGACCCACGGGCAGCTCAGTCGATGGGTCTGGGGTCTGCCCGGGGGGCTCACGGCACGGCTGCCACCACCAAGAGCATCCTTTGATAGCAGCAGCCAGTCAACAAAACCCACGGGAGCGCACCGGAGGCTCCAGCACTGCCGTCATATACCTGTGCGGAGGAGAAGCCCCAGCACCAGGCATGGAGCCCAAGGGAACCTACCGGAGATGTTGGTGGTGATCTCGGTGAGCGCCGTCTGGCCAAAGCCCTTGCCGGTGCGGGCCCGGACCGAGAAGAGGTAGGTGGTGCCGGGATGGAGGTTGGAGAAGACGTGGTAGGTCTCGTTGCGTAGTTTGGAGACAGTGCGTCGCGGGCCGGGCACGTTGACCGCCGGGTCGGAGGATTCGATGCTCTGGTAGCTGATCTGCAGGGATGGGGCAGAGCATCACCAGTGGCCATGGGAGAGGGGAGAGACCTCGGATCCGGACGGAGAAGGGGTTAAAGGGACAGATTCAGAGGAGGGGACGGTCATAGGAGCAGCCTGGAAGGCAGATGCTTTCTGGGGTAAATCAGAAGCAGAGTTTTGTCGGAAAAGCCCTTGCTGGATAATACAGGTGACCCCAAAAGCAGGACTCCCCAGCAGGGACAGACCCTGCTAGCAGGAGGATGAACGCAGGCTGGACCCGTGCTCCAAACAAAGGGCTCAGGGGCAGCAGTAACACCGCAGCCACACTTAATCCCTGTGACCAAAAGCAATGGTTGCCCCAGATCCTCCCCGACGAGACCCTCTCGTGTCCCCACGGGTGCCGCAGCCGGCCGGGACGTACCTCATACTGCGTGATGAGGCCATTGGGCTCCACTGGTTCCTCCCACTTCAGAAATATCATGTCCTCCAGCGGGGTGAAGGTGAGGGACTCCGAGGCGATGCCGCCGGGCACTGGGGAAGGAAAGGGGACATGCTCGGATGCAGCAAGAAACCAGGCTGGAAGGAGAAATCCTCTGGGAAACCCCTCCAGGAGGCTGCAGCAGCTCTCCCACGCAACCAAACCACCGCATCCCCTCTGCCATGTCACCCAGCTCCGGCACACAGCGCCCAGACAGGGCTGGTGGCTCCCCAGGGCAATGATGCTCCCAGGCCCACTGGTGACACACTTTGCCACAGGGCAGGAGGTCCCCACGCCACAGCACAAACCCCACAGGTACCGTTTCTGCCATCGCACCCAGTTTCCGACAGCACAGCAGGAAGCTCCCTGCGCGCCCTCACCATCAGAGCTCGCCCGAGTTCACCAGTGCAAGGAAAGAAAATTAAAATTCCCTTTTCCCATAGAACCCAAATCCCCGCCGGAGCCATCAGCATCCTCAGGAGACGGTGCTGGCTCTTCCCCAGCGAGCAATAACATCCTCATCTGCAGACAGGCTTGACATGCCCCAGCCTTCCCCTCTAATTAACACCACCACCAATAATTACCACAAACAATAACAGCGATTGACAGCACCGGGATCAATATTCGCTTCTTCACCATGGATTTCTTGACCTGAGGGGATCAGCGAGGAGGACAGGGGAGGCGATGGCTCGGCAAAGACCACAATTCACCAGCAGCATCCTCCGCTGCGGGCTTGAGTACCTGAAACGCGCCCTCTCATTGCAGAGGGACATCAGCTCTTTCCCTCTATTTTTCTCTTTTTTCAGCTTTTATTCAGATCTAATTACGGGGCCGAGAGAGAGGGATCGCCTTCCGCGCGCTTCCCACCGTGCAAATACACAATTTCCACTTGATTTACAAGTTAATTTAATCAGAGGCGCCATGTCCTACACGTGTACACAAGGCACTTATTAAATTCGTGGAGAATTACGGAAACCTTTAGGGCAAGATTACATGTACCTCTACAGATAAGTATATATACAGCCTATATATTTATATATATATACAGGTACAGGCACCACGCGCTTGTGCATGGAGCAGGTTGAGACCGGCAGAGACGCACAACGGCTCCCAGGTGTGCGTACACCCCTCTGCCATCCATATACATCACATATATTTATTTATGCATTTATATCTATTTATTCTGGCAGGCACTGCACGCGCCCTGCGTGCAAGGGAGCGCGCTGGCTGCCTGCACACACCTTCCTGCAGCACCAACACACTGCAATGATATTTCCACAGGCACCCGGGATTGAGTCTCATCGTTTTGTGCAGACGCAGTCCAAAACCTCCAGCCGCGGGTCACCGACCTTCCCGAGCCCCCCGGATCTATATGGGGCACTTAAACACCAGCTGGGCAACCTATGGATGGGTGACTCTCTTCTCTCAGCTCACAGACACAGGAGCCAGCAGGACTTTCCCAGGGTGTAAGGGGGATACTCTGAACAACGCCCTTGGTTTGGCCCAGTTATTAATGCCCCAGAAATGGGTTTTCCAGCCCAAAACCAGCGTTTACCGCCTGGGACGGGGGTGCAGCCCACACCAGGGCCCGCCCCTGAGACAAGCCCCAGTGCTGCATCAGCGGATGCTGCCACAGAAGCTGGTCTCCTGCCAAAATAAACCACAATCAAGGGTCCTATTATTAACGAGCCTTCACCACATTCGCTTAATTGCACAGGCGGCTGCTCATCACCCAGTTGTGGGAGCTCGAATCCTCATCGTCCTCCCAAGCACGGCAATGCTGCGCCCAGCCTGCATGTAATACTTCCAATATATCCATAGGTGGATATCCACCCATCGATCCCACCTGAGACCGAACGTATGCGCGGCCTCACGTTCAATCTGAGGGGGAAGCCACAAGCTCCAGTTAATCAAGGCATAGAGGAAAGCAGCTGGAGTGATTACAGTATAGCAAAAAAACATCTGGAGCTCCTGTATTAATATTCAATAAGAAAACAGCTGGAGCAGTCACAGCACAGTGAGAACAGCTGAAGCAATTATAGCCGGAAAATAAACCGTCAGGAGCATGAAGCTGGGTGCCCCGAGTCGGGCAGGCTCAGGGTTGGGGATACAGAAAGCGCTGATGTGCAGAGAAAGGTGCCAAATTTAGGCTTTAGAGATGAAAACGGGACCTGCAGACCCTCCCAGCTCCACTCCAGCTCTGCAGGCTTTGCTTTCCAGCCTGGGAAACGGGAGCGATGAGCAACGCGCATGCAAAAGCCATACGTTTCGGTGGGTCCCAAATCGAGGCGAGTTCCCCACGGGGGGATTTCACAGCAGGCTTCTCGGGGGTTGTCCACGGGGTCCAGAACCGGCCGGATCCTTTGCAATTATCAGCTCTTCCACCTTAATTGCTGACTCTTGATGCTAAAAAGTGCTTCGGAGATGAATTACGTTCTTGCTTAACAGTAAGTGCCGGTGACTCTGCGAGAGCCAGGGATGCGCCAGCCACACTCAGCACCCAGCACCCACCCCAGGTGCAGCAGCTCCTTGCGCCCCACGCAAGCCCCAACCACTGCTGCCCTCCACGGAGCAGGATGAAACCCCCTCGCCCCACCGGCTGCAGGACCAGCGGTCAGAGCGGCAGCATTCGGGACTGCCCAGTGGTCCTGGAAGGCGGCCGAGCTGCCACGGCACGCAGAGGTGATGCTGCTGGGGCAGCAAAGAAGAGGTGACGAGCTGAAGCTGTTGTTAGCAGGTGCTGCCAGCCCTGCACGTGGCCTATTCCTGATGGCTGGCACCGGAGACACGGAGTCGGCTCTGCCCTGTACCTCCTGCACGTTCAGATTGCCAGAGCCCAAAATTACCCACCCTGCTGACGGAGCGCTGCAGCTGGGGACCGCGGTGCAGGGTAAGGGCAGACCTGGGCGACCTCTTGGGTGGCCCCAGCTCCAGGACATCCTCAGGGAAGGGCTGGGCAGGAGCAAGAGATGCCAAACCCTGGAGCAACGCCAGAGCCTCCAGTGAGGACGTCAGGCCCACAGCGGGGACCCAACCCCAGGGCACGGCCGGGACGGGGAGAAGAGAAACAGCAAGAGAAGAACAACACTGCTGGCAAATAACGGGGGCCAGATGCCCCTTATCGACACGCGCTGATCCGCAGAGCTCCTTTGCACAACCCAAACCTGCCCGAGAGCAAACTTAACTGGGGAAGAGCACTGGCGAAGCCAAGCAAAGCTGCACCGGGCTCTGATTAACAGCGCTCTCCCAGAAACATAACGCCATCGAGTTAATCAGCGACTGAGCAGATGAAAGATGTTACCTAAGCGCAAGGCATTGATTTGTTTTGTTATTGTTATTGCTGCTAGGCTTTGTTCCACACTAAGGGATGAGCGAGGACGACTCGTGCTGGGAGAAGCCGGGCATCGGCCAACTGTTGTGCCCTTCGCCGGACCGGGCACGGGTAAAACGCTCCACTTGAAGGACCAGGGCAGCATTTCTGCAGCAAGGTAGGATGTTCCCCTGCCGGAGCAACCAGTGCTGCCCCATCCCCGTCCCGTCCCCTCTTCCCCCTACGCCGCTCCCAGCATTTCCCTTTCCCAGCCACCATCCTTGCCCCTTTCTCCCATCTCCCCTTGCACAGCCCTGGGGCTGCAACAGCCTTTTCATCTCCCCATTAGCGAGATGGCCACAGGAGATATTCCCATCATGCCCCTGGCCAAGAGCCACAGATGTGCACCGTACCACACCCCCGCAGCTCACCAGCCCCGGAGTCACATTTTTGGGGACGACGCACCCCCCAGGCAGACTCACCATCCTCATCGGTCTGGAATATCACCTCCTTGCCCTCCTTGCGACCCTCGGGGTTGGAGAGGATGAGCTTGACGTGGATGTTCTTGTAGGGCAGCAGGTTTTTGATGGTGTAGCGGTTGGCGTTACGCTCCATCTTCACACACTCCCGAAAGGTTTGGTTGTGGCCGGTGCCCACGAAATAGCGGTAGCAGAGCGAGACGGTGTAGGTGTGACAGCGGGTCAGGTTGTAACCCAGCGGCTCCCACTGCAGCGTCAGCTGCCTGGACTGGATTTCGGAGAAAGCCAGGCCTTTGGGGGCCCGCATGGGCTCTGGGGAGGAAGAGAGATGGGGAGAGAGGAGCGATGAAGCAAAACGTCTCCTGGGTTTATGTGTATTATCAGGGAAAGCCCTTTTACAGTGTAGGAACAAGAAGGGTGGGTGTGGAGAGCAACCCTGACCCCAAAACCAGGACCAGCCCCAGCACAGGATGCTGCTGCCCTGCAGACAGGGCTGGGGACGTCACCAGGTCTCAAAGCCACCAACACCACAGGGACAGCAGCCCCCGCTGGCTCATCTTCCCCTAAAGAGGTGAAGTCGGGGGGTCTCAGAGCCACCAACACCACAGGGACAGCAGCCCCCGCTGGCTCATCTTCCCCTACGGAGGTGAAGCCGGGTACCAGCCCCAGCCGGCGCAGAGCCACGGCAGGCACCGGGAGCATCCGCGCCACGAGAGGCCCCAAATAACCAGATCAACGTGCCTGTGTGATGGGAGCCCTCGCGTTTTCATCAATCCCGTGTCAAGCTCTTGAAAGGACAGAGACTGAGCAGTGTCGCTGGGAAGGAGTTTAATTAGCTCTAATTGGCACGAACAGGAGAAGTCTGATTTAATGAGGAGCCAGCTCCTTTGCCAACAGCACACACACACGCAGGTGGTTTGGGTTAACGACACTAAACTCCTTTCCATACCCAAGGGTGGTGGGAAGAACACCAAGAGGGAAGAAGGGTCTTTGTCCACCCTGTCCCAAAGCTGATCCCCCAGACAATTCCCCTGGGATTTGCACTGCAGAGGAATTTGGGCAGCTCAGGGTTGCAAGAGGCTTCTGCAACCTCAGCAGATGCTCCTGCAGGTCCTGATGCCCTCGCAGGACTGTGCAAAACCCCAGGCGAACACAGCAATAGGCACACAGCCCCATGCTGCAGGGACCCCAGCCTTAAACCCATTGCCACGTCCATCTACCAAAAACCACCAAACCTCAGCCCCGATGCCCACCGGCATCACTCCCATCGGGTGGCCAAGGGCACAGGGACCTCTCCCCCGCCACTCCCCGAGGCCTCCAGAGCCCCCCACACTTCCCCAGGCAGCACCGCGTGGTGCCAGGCTTCAACCTTCCCCTCTCCTTTTTATTCCAGTGTATTTAAATGCTCTGGGGGGGAGCCGGCAGCACAGCACCCAGGGCCAGTGATGGCCAGTGGCACGTGGCCACGTGGGGAACCTCCCCTTGACACAGGGGCTGCACGACACATCTACCCAGCGGCTTTTTCCAGGGTCCCCTGCTGGGTCAGATCCTGGAAAGCGCAGGAGATGCGGCGCTGGGCAGACGGGCTGGCGAGGCTCAGAGGATGCAGAAGATCCAACTGCAGTCACCTTTTGGGTGGAGGAAGGGTGGCTTTAGTCACCGTCTGCAAACCCACCATGACCCAGGGGAAGCCGGGGAGAAAAATACATCGTTACAACATATGGGAAGAGCCAGGGAAGCCTAAACGTGGTAACCCTAGGATATTAAATACAGGGTGCCAAGAGCGTCAAACAGTGCCTGTCATTGGCTTCAAGGTAATATGGAAATCTGGGCTTTCTCGCAGCGCTTCTGAAAATAGATCTGGGATGAAAATCTGCCGCCAGCCCCTCACCACGATGCCTGGGTCAGGGTTTGCATCTCCCCCTCCACCCCTGCGCCAGCACCGGCTGCTCTCCTCGCACGCCTGAGCGCACCCGTCTCCGAGCTGACGCTGTGCGTGGGCTCCCCGTGGCCAAAGCCACCAGGGACACCCCGCAGCCCTAGGGATGTGGCCGTGTCCTGCTCCGCTCCTGCCATATGTACGAAGGATGCGCCCTCCAGTCCCCATCCGCGGGGCGATGCTCCCGGCTCGCTCCCAGCTCAGCAGCACAGACCTCTGCTTTTGTTGGGCTGAGGGGTTTTTGTGTGCAGGGTCCCAGCCCGGCATCATGGCAGTGCTGGGTCTCGGGGCGAACCTGAAGCAACAATCCCGTGCCTCCATCACGCTGTCTCGCTGCCTTCGACTTTGCTCAATTACCAGCAGTTAAACGCCAGCATCAGGAAGGCAGTCGCCATGGAGTGTCTAAAACGCTGCCGCCAGCCCCCAGTTCCAGCCCCACCGCAGCCAGGGATGTCCCCTAACCCGGGGCACCCCCCGCAGGGGAGGCTGATCCCGCATCCCTGAGGGAAACAGGCTCCCCTGCAGCCCCACGGCACCGGAGTCATCTCCCCCCCATCACCCCCCAGACCAGCAGCAGGGCTGCACCGTGGGCTTTGCTGGGGCATTTGGGCAGAGAGAAACCCCAGCGCCCACCTTCCCCGAGGACACCCCAAGGGGGCTTTGGCAGGGGTGGGGTTGCCCTAAATTACCCCCAGGTCATTGCCATGTGTGGGAAGGCAGCGGACCCCCCCAGCCAAAGCTACCACCCCTCCGGCGTGGCATGGGATTAACGCGGTTTTAGAAGAAATATTTTTAGATGCACCGACTGCTCAAAACCAGACACTGGAGAAAAATCTACAGCTCCCTCTGAGGAGAGAAGGAGATGGCAACTTTGCTAGGGACAGCCCAGGGGCTCATCCTCAGGGACAGCGGTCCTGAGGTGTGGGGATGCCCTGAGCTGGCTCCAGCGGCGGGGGAGCAGCCGTCTCCTGCCGGCATTTGCCCGGATCCAGGGACAGAAACCAGCCGGGTGCCAGCCACAGACTCTGCGTCCCGTTGCTGTGCTTTCCTGCACCGAGGTCCGCCCAGCTACTGGGGACTCTGATCAGCACCAAGGCATTTTCAGGCTGGACAGACATTCAGCCCCTCTGGCTCAAGATCCAGCCTCGCCCATACACCCTGCTACCCTCCGGCCATGATCACGGCGTGGGTTTAATTAGCGGTCCCTCCTGAGATGCTGCGCACAGCCGCTAAAAAGTCAATTAAAGGTGGATCCGTCGGAAAAGCAATGCCTCAAATTCCCGGACCACAGCAGCAAACGCCCTCGGCACCCATCCAGCCCCAGCCATGCTCCCTGCCTGGGGCTCAGGGTGGGTGACCTTGCCCGAGGCCACCCATGGTGGCCAGGATGCAGCGTGGGACCTACCTGCACACTTGGTGCGGCTGATGAGGGGTGGCCCCGGTTTGCCGGTGCCCCCCTCGCCGGGCCGGGTAAGCAGGACACTGATCTCGTACTCCGTGTCCGGATCCAGGTGCCAGAGCTTGTAGGTCTGCATGTTGACGGCGTGGACCTCCGACCAGGGCCCCGAGGTCATGCGGTACTCGATCTCCTTGCGCACGATGGGGCCGTCGCCGATGATGGAGTTGGTGTTGAGCTGGATGATGAGGTAGGTGGAGCCGGCCCGGAGCAGCTGGGGAGGCGCGATGGGTGTGGGGGGCTCTGGAAGAGAGCGGAGAGGGGGCAGGTGGAGCATCACCCTCCAGAAGCAGCTCCACAGCATCCCCAGCCCTGCAGCCAGGCCAACAGCCACAGGTACCACTATTCATTTCTTTTTTTACTAACTACAATTGAGACATTCACAACGTCTCTTCCCAAACAAACCCATCACCTTCGGACCGCAGGGTACGGGACAAACTCAGATCCCCCACCCAGAGGACATGGGGATTGACACCAAAGTATGGGAGGGCACCATCCAGTCTTTAAACTTCAGCCCGTGCGTATGCCCTCCATCGCTTTTAGTGAGGCTTTAACAGCTGCAATAGGGTTTCATATAATCAAATCTTAATTATCTTTATAAGATACACTGCCCAGCATGGTGCTCTACAGTTTCACCATAATTAATTCCCACCTACTGCAATCAAAAATAAATGATCTAAGGCCACCGGGAAAGGTAGTTTCCTGGTTTTATGTTGAACCATCCACATGTGGTGACTCATTCCCAGGGAGAAACTGTGATCCCACCGCCCCACGCATCCCACCTTCCTCCTCCTCCGCAAACAGCTGAGCAGAAATAGCCCATCCATGACCCAGAAACCCGGCAGGCAACAGCAAGTCACCCACCTTTCACAATGAGCTCAGCGAAGTTGGAGACGCCCGAGCCGCGGCTGGACTGGGTGACGCAGCGGTACAGGTCCTGCTCTTCCTTGGACACCTCATCCAGCTGGAAGGTGGCCAAGAAGCGCCGGTGGCTGATGTGCTTCACAGAGGCGGCGGGGACCACCTCGCCGCTCTACCTCTGCCCCACGAGGAGAGACAAGACGTTACCAGGAGGCATGGCGTGACATCCAGAGCCACCAAACATGTCCCCAAATGATGTTTGCTTAAAAGGGGGATAGATTACTCTTCTCCCCCCTGCCCAGCAGTGTCTTCTCCCAAAGGGGAGGCACAGAGGCATCGTTGCAGAAGCGATGCATGGGGTTGACGGTGGAGATGCCGGTTTCACTACCGCCATTGCTCACCTGCATGAGGAACCGCTCGGCCTCGGCAGCCTTGCCGGCGGCCACGCACTGGAAGGTGGCATTCTGCCCTGCATTGACCTCCACGTCGCCCAGGCGGGAGAAATGAGGCGCTTTCGCTGCCAAGGGACACAAGCGAGAGGTGATGAAGCAGCCGAGGTCCGAGGGGACCCGTGGCAGCATTGCTGCAAAAATCCCACCACAGCCCAAAAACCCACCCAGGGTGCCAGGGCTGGAGCCGAGCTCCAGATGGGCTTGATCCCCATCCTCACAGCCCGGCTTGGAGTCAGGAATTTGTTCCCATCCCTGTACAACCAGCCGGTGTCCCAGGGAGGGATGGAGTCTTCCCATCCAGCATCCCACAGCGCTGTTGCCAGAGGCAGGCTATGGGGCTGATAGAGGGGGACAGGTCTCCCACCCCAGCCTGGAAGAAACAGGGGGTGAACTCCGACAGCCAGCGTGTTGGGACAGCCTGGGATTTCAGGTCCCCACCAGGCCGGGTGGCCCCTCTCGATGGGGATGCCCAGGCCATGTGTTCAGTCTGCACTTCTCCGAGGTTTTATAAAAACTCAGTGATGGAGATGGAAAAAGGAGCCCTAGAGGTACCCAGGAGATGGAGCTCCACCAGCCCAGGTGACGACAGGACACCCAGGTGCCACCAGGCTGCACCCTGGCATTAGTCCATCAGCTCTCCCCAGGACCATCCCAATGGGCCCCAGCTCCAAACCCTGCTGCCCAGCTCAGCAGCACCCAACACCCCGCTACCCTTCGGGGTCCCCCACCCTTGGGTCCCATCCCACGACACTCACAGCATGGATAATTCAAGAGCAAAATATCATCCAAGCCAAGATAGCCCCTGCGCTCGCTGGAGACCACCGCCTCGAAGAGGACCTGCGGCACCAAACAGAGGGGTCACCCATTGCCGGGGGGGCCAGGCCACGCAAAGAGGGGGGTCCAGGTCACGCAAAGAGGGGTCCTGGGTGCTTACCTGGTACTCGCTGGGCCAGAACAAGCTGACAGCCAACTCCGCCTGGTGCCACTGGTGGCCATGGGAGCCGGAGGCATTCCAGACAGCGCTGCCCACTGGGCCCCCCGTCACCCGCACATAGGCGCTGAGGGTGCCGGGGCTGTGGCCATCCCGGCTGTACATGAAGTAGCTGAACTGGAGGCAGTGGGTGTCATTCTCGCTCAGTGCCTGGAAGAGCAGGTGAGCTTTCTGGCCCGGGGCATGCTGCGAGGAGTTCACCATCAGGTAGGACCCTGCGGTGGGAGAGAGAAGGGGAAGAGCATAGAGTAATCCCCCTGTTCTGCATCTCCCGAGCTTTGCCAGCGGGGATGGAGACGGCGGAGGATACAAGATCGCAAAGATGCGCATGACCTGGCAACAACGCTTGGGTCCTGCTGGGTACCGGTCCCTGCCGGCCCCCAGGGACGTGCAGGACAGGAGTCAGTGTCAGGCGCCCATTTGGGCAGCAGCAGGACATCGAAATGCGACCCGGCTGCTGGATGAGGAGGGAAGGATCAGACCCACTGCCTCCAGGATAAGCTGCTCACAGCTGCAGTCCCCTGGGACGCCAGGGTCAGTCATGGCTTCAGTGCCACGGCAGACCCTCCACGTGCTTTCCTTTAATGCTCGCAGCTTCGGCTGCGCCAATACTGCCCTCCCCAGCCGGGCCCCAGCCATTTAATTTCCATTCCCATCGCCTCATATCGTTTACCACGCAGTTGTTGCCGAGTTTAAACTGTGCTCAGCAGGCGCTCGCAGGGGGGAAAAAAGCACTCGTTGGCTTAACGAGCGGCAGCACCACAGCTCTCTGGGATCCCAGCACCGTGGCTCTCCACCTGCTCCAGCACCAGCAGCTGCTCGTACCCCACCTCCCATCGCCCCAAATCCCCAGCAATGAAACCAGGAGTCCCGGCACTTGCCCCAGTGCAACCCCAAAGCCATAATTACAGGGCAGGGAGGATGAAAATCCCAAAGATGATCCCAAAGGCAGCATCCTTCCCTATTCCACATGCTCCATCCCAGGTGGAGGGGGATGCAGGAGTCCCGGCTCTTTACGGCAGCTCCCGGAGCCATCCAGCACGGCCACGGGGCTGGGACACAGGGCGGATAGGAAGCCACCTTACCAAACTCTCCCCAACACCAAAGGCAAGGGGATTATTAATATCCCTTCCATTTTAATAACGGCAGAAGCTGTAAGTAACAAAGCTGGGCCATTTATTCAAGTCTACCATTGTTTTCCTGACAGTAGGCACTTAATTATTAATAGCTTTCACCGCCGGTTAATTTAAACGAATTCACACACTTTCCTCCCATCGTCTCCCAGCAAGCGGACGCCAAGAAAACCCTAACAAAGGCAGTGGGGGATCGTGAGGGCACCCATCCGTCCCCCCCAGCGCTTGGGAGCTGCGCCTGGGGGGGACCCCGAAACACCCAGGGGGTCACAGCATCAGCTGGGGAGACGCGGTGCCGGGTACCACACCGCAGCGCATCCTCCAGAGATGGGAGCTGGGACAGGGGAAAGAAATCACCAAAAAGCAAAATTTTCACCGCATCACCGATCTGCACGGCTGCCCGGCGCTCCTGGGTAGATATTCAGGCTGAAATAAAACGATAACAATTTATTTTCTTGTAGTCAACACAGCCGCATTTCACAGACAGAGGGGAAGGTACTATGGCCATATTCCTTCTCTTTCTTTTTTTATCCTCTCCTTTCCTCCAGCAAAATTATTTCTGCACTAACGAGAGCGGCCTCATTTGGCCCGGGCGACAGCAGCGTGGACAGCGAACGCCACCCGCCCCACGCCAGGGGACATCTTCCAAAAGCCATCTCCAACCGCTCCATCTTCCAGGCTCTCATTAACGAACGCAGACCCTTCTTCCTGCCCTCCCTTTAAAAACAAAAAGCCAGAGGACCAAAATAAAGAGACCAAGACTAAAATTAAACCACTGACAAGTTATTTCAAAAGACAGAGAATGTCCATTAAGGTCAGCTGGGACCACAGGCACGAACGGGTGGCAACGCACCGGTGCATCACTTATCCGGCAGGGTTTCCCCCACGCGCTACTTTTCCCCCTTAATTTTCTTCCCAGCGTCACTGCAACGGAGAAACCAGGCTCCCGCCGCTTCCTTTTGTGCTAATTATATCCTCCTCCCCCATAAATGACTGGTCCCAGCTTCAGTTTCAAATCCAGGGTACGGATTGGGTTTTTTTTTTAATGCAGGAGAAGCAGGTACTTGTCCCTGCATCAGGGTGCTGCATCCTGCACCGGAGCATCCCCTGGCATGGCCAAGGTCCTGCGGCCGGCAGCTCCTCGCAGAGAGGTGGCTTGGGGTTACAAACTCCCTCAGCAGCCCCTGGGCTTTTTTTGCAGGGGATGTTTTTGCTTTTCAGCGAGTTTTCTTTCATTTTTTTAATGCACCCCAATAAAATGGCAGCACAGCCCCGCCTGAGTGCTCCCACCCGCAGCACTGGCACACCAGGAGCTGAAGGAGGCAGCGGGACAGCCAGCTGGTGACAAAAGGGTGACAAGGGGGTGACAGCCTGCACACACACTGCCATCACCCACCCCTGGGACACAGTCCCACCACAGGTCATCAACCTGCTCATCGCTGGTCTCTTGATCCGGCTGGGATGCTGCCAGGCGGCTCCGGGGGATGCTGCTGGGGGGGGAGGGGTGATATGGCAAGGGCCCGGGGGTCCCCCAGACCCCTTCCACTTCTTCCCTATTAATCCACCACCGCTGCCAGTGTCCCCCCCCAAGCCTCCACCAGGATCCGGCAGCTTTCCCGAGCCAGGACAAGAGCAGAGCTGCAGCAAGAGCTACACAAGCTGCCAAATCCCAGTTTTTAAAGCTTATCTTAATTCCTGCCAGCAAAGGCAGAGGTGGGGATGGAGAGGAGGGGGCATCCCAGCCCTGCTGCGCCCCACAGCTTGGGGGGGACAGGCAGGACCACCCCCGGCAGCTGGAGGGTTGATGCACTATCACAGCTGGGGTTATTTTTGAGCCCTGTCCACATGTTGGCATTACAGCAAAAATCTGCTCCAAAACTCACGATAGGGAAAATCATTTCCAAACTTCTCACGAAGTGGGAGCCGCAGAAACAGCCCCGGGGCATCCCCCAGCTGAGACTTCAAACCAAAGGATGGGATTCAGGCACACATCGATACCATGCTTCGCTCGTTAAATCCTTCCTCTGATCCTCAATTTAAGGTCAGTTTGAATCAAGATGCCAGTCTAGGTGAGCTGTCACCCCCCCTTCGTCACCACAAATAACAAGTCAGCCCCTCTGTGTCCCCCCCCAGCTCAGCTGCAGCAATATAATTTAATTTAGTTTTCAGGTGGGCTTTTAGAGAAGAGCCCAAGTGCTCTGTGGAGAAAGAGAAAACACTCAAAATGCGCTAAATAATATTTCAATCAAACAAATGAAAAGAGAAACAAGTTTCCAGCAACGTTCCCTACAGGAAAACCATCAATTTGTTACACAGAAGTTGACGATGAGGTTTAAGCTGCAAAATCAGCCCAAAGGGGCTGTGCACAGAAAGCTGAATTTTCCCACTTGTGGGATCATCAGCCTTTCCTTGGGATTCAGGTCTTTGAGGATAACTCGGCGCCTCCGATAACCTTGGCCATGGATCTGAGAGCAATGAGCTTGCAGGGATTTTATCCCCAGCTTTGGGCTGAAGCCCTGCTTGCCCACAGGGAAGGAGCAGCTCTCCCCATCGCGCTGCCTTTCCCTGAGGTCCTGCCCGCAGCTGCCTGCATCCTTCTGGGAAAAACCCAAAACAGCCCAGCAAGAAGAGGAGGGAAGAACCCGCTTCCCTGTCTTGCTGAGTTTTTCCTCCTACAAAACCACCGAGAGATAAAAATAAAATTAAAAAAAAAAAATCAAAGCACTATTAAAAGGCAGCAAAAGGCAGGCAGGATGACAGGCAGAGGGTGGCACTGCCAGCCAAGAGGTGCCAGGGGATCAGGTCTGAGCACTGCTGCATCTGCCTCCGGGAAATCACTTTGGAAGATGAAGCCCGACGGTGCCTCCTCGCGCGCTGGTTTTTCTTCTCAATACGACAGAGCCGGCACGGGAATCAGGTACCCACTCCCCACTGCTCCACCGAGCCTCAGGACGAGCATCTCCCGGGGGAGCCCCAGCACCAAGGGCTGACCTGCCACCACCACGGGGTCCTCGGGCAGACCGGAGTAAATCCCCTGGGAGCTAAAGCTCAAGCTTAATTCTTGGACACGCAGCAGGAGCTTGTCAGGAGGCGATGCCGGAGCTATCAGCTGGAGGAGCGACTCCTCAGAGGGGATGGAGGGACATGGAGCTCATCAGGGTGGGGACAACGGCTCGGTCACCCCCCTGACACGGCCGTGCCGGGGCATCGCGATGCGGGGAGCACAACGGCAGCTCCGTGCATGGAGAGAGGGAAGAGCCAAGCAGGGAACAGAAACTCTGATTCAGAGGGTTTTCCAACGTCACTGAGTTTGGAAGGAAAACCAAGGAAAAAAAGCCGTTTGGAAATAAAACCCACCCACAAATATGATGTTTTAGTATTTCTGAGTTCAGCCGTGCAGCGCGGAGGAGCCCGGGTGCTCTGGTCCCCCGGCGGGGGCTGCGGCAGGGCAGGAGGACACGCAGCCTCCACGGGGAGTTTTTGTCACAGTTTCTCCCAACCCATCTCCTTTGAATTTCCACAGGTGAATTCAACCAGCGACAAAAAGAGGGGCCTGCACCTTTCCCAAGGAGACCCTGGAGCTCTGCAGAGCATCCTTGTCCTCTAACGGGCACCCCGCATCTCTGTGAGGGTAAGGACAGGGACCCAACCTCGGCTCTGCCCCGTGCTCCATCCTGGGCCTGTCCCATCCAAATTCATACAGGGCTTAACCTAAACGCCCTGGTTTATTTTGATGTTCATTAAGTAACCTCAAATTGTGTTTCACCCCAGGAGCGCAAGAAATCAGCCTGATTTCACTCCCCTGTCCCATCCCTGCCTGCTAGACCACCCCACTGCCCGGTCCCCTGCTCCTCAAAGGGCTTTGGGATCCGGCCAAATCCTGCAAGCCCTGCAGGTGCCCAGCAATGCCAGGTGCTGCAGAGCAAGGCAAACACTGTCCTTCCTCCCCCCAGCTTCGAAACAGCAGGGCTCCTAGGAGATCAGATATTGCAGAGCCTGAAGGTAGGTGCAGACCAGCCTGGCAGGCAGAGGCAGCGCTTGGGGGAGAGCAGGAGGAACGTACACCTGAAGCAGGCAGGGAGAGTTATTTTGGGGCAGACACAGCGATGGTACATCCTCGCATCCTCTTACCTGCCTTACCTGGCTCCCTGCAACTGCTCCTTTCAAAAAAACAATAATAAAGAGCCGGGGGGGGGAAAAAAAAAAATCATAGCTGCAACGTGGGAGAGACACATCCACGGGAGAGACCCATCTATCGTCTTTAGGTGAAAGCAGAAGACAAGTCAAGATGGGAAGAGAGGGGAAAAAAAAACAACCCAAACCAAACAAAAAAGGAAAAAGAAAGAGGGATGCAAAGGTGGAGGCGGGTGGCCAGCAGCCAGCATCTGCTCCAATAAATCCTACGCTCCTTGAAACTGGCTGATCGCCAATGAAAACTCATTTTAATCTAAGACCACAAGACTCCTTTGGAAAGTGCTCCCTGGAGAGGCCCCGGTGCTGTGAAATACTCTTCATCCACCGAGCTGCTGCGGGGGGACCCAGAGGGGTGCTAAGGCTGCAGGAGCCTCGTGCAAAGCTCCCCGTGCATACCAGGGTGAAACTACACAACAACGGGGTCCCTGCACCCACTGGGTGCCCCAAGACCAGGAGCAAACAGTATCTACCTGGTATTGGGGAGCCCCCGACTATGGGGACAAGCACCCTTTGGGTGTCACCATCAGATGGGTGCTCTTCCCTGGGGCCTGGCCCTGCGATGCTCCATGCTCGCAGCTCAGCCTCACAACATCCCACCTGGGATGGTTGCATCCGCTTCCCCATCAACTCTGGACTTTATTTCTTAACCTTTGCATTTAAGCGCCCACCTCTGGCTAACCCGTGGTTATTTCCTCCAGCAGAGAGAGCAGCCCCATTCCATCTTACCCCTTCAGTCCCCTGCAAGCCCCCAGGCTTTAAACTCAGGCAGTTTGCTGCTGGTTTTAAATTACAGCTGAAAATTAAGCAGAAAACCCAACTAATTCCAGGTTTAAGACCCTCCGTCATGAGCCATCTCAGTCCCCAGCTCTGCTTCCCTCCTCACTGCCCTGGGAAACCCCCCCAGGACACACACAAATCAGGGTAGTTCAGGTTAAAGCAATTATTTGGAAAATCATCAAGGGAAAACAGGGATCGGTCAGCAGTCCGACAGCCAGGCTAAGGGTTGTTTTGCCCTCACCCTGTGCCCAGGACATGCCACCGGGGATGGGAAAGCAAGGAAAAGGCGATGGGGAGAGGAGAAGGTAAAGGAAGAAGAGGGTTAGCAGAGGGGAAAAGCCAAATTAAGTACGAACAAGGCATGAGATAAACAGCTGGAGGCAGATTGATGGGGCAGTAAAGAGTTTTCTGTAAAGCAGTCAATGTTTTAATATAAAAGTAATTTTTCCTATCGAGCTCTAAACCAGCTCTCCTCTCTTTCTGCCCATCTTCAGCATGGGATCTGACCTCCTGGGCAGGAGGAGCCGGAGCGCCGGCACCAGGCAGGAGCCAGCGGTCCCAAAAATGAGGAGCATCCTGAGCCTGGTGCAGCTCGCAGAGCAAACGGGTACAGGGACAACTGGAGGGGGGTCACAGCAGGACACGGGCCGGAGCTGGGAGCAAGCAAAGCCCCCAGATGCCACCCAGGCATGGTACCCACGCCATGCTCCTGGGAGACGGGGAGCTCCCCACAGCTGCCTGGCTGGCTCTGCTCCCCCAGCCTGGCCATCAGAGAGGAGCTGGACCCAGAAAATAACAAAAACCGGTTTAAAAGCAATGAGATTTTTAAATAAAAAAAGTCCATTTGCATTTTCTTCCTTACAGTTCCCGAGACTTTGGAGATGCCTCCAACTCACAGCCACGAGCCCTTCCCGACACTTGCAAGAGCCAGAAACACATTTTTTTCCCCTTTTCCACATCTCCCGAAGATGGGAATTTCTCATGAGCCTGCAAAAGCAGCACAAGCCGACACGCCAGCAAGGAAAGAGCAGGCAGCAGCTGCAAATCCCAGGCAGGGAGAGTGGCTCCGAAGGTGCCCCTTTACGACGGGATCTGGGTGCATCCCAGCTGGCGGCAGCCGCAGATGCCACGCTCGATGCCAGATGGGGAATTTGGCATCGCCAGAGATGCTGCCGAGACCCGCGGGAAGCATGGAAAGCCGCCCAAGCTGCTGCCATCCCGCTGCTGCGGGCAGGGAGATGCCGTGGTGGAGGGGACATCCCACACGCAGCCCCCGGCCAGCCCGGGGCCCAGGGCTGGGGGTAGCAAACGCAAAAATGGTAGACATCATGTGCAAAGGGAGCAGAACTGGAAATCTTGGCTTTCCACCCCAAAAATACATGCCTGGAGTGTTTGCAGGCTCCTCCAGCCCCCTGCCGCAGGGTGGGTTGGGGGTGGCACGGGGTTACACCCTGCCAAGATAGCGACACGGGGCTAAGAGGTACCCAGAGCCATCTGATGGCCCTGTCCCCGCTGTGCTGTTAAAAACCCTCCTCTGCCCAGCAGCAGCAGGGTCCCACGTCCCCTGTCCTCAAGCAACGCCCTCCCCAGGGCCACACAGCATCCCACCTCACCGCGCTGAGGGCCAACACAGCTCATCACACCTTGCTGGCAGGCACAGCAGCATCCTGCCCACGCGACCGAGGACAAGTCAAGCCTAAAACGCTGTGGGAATTAAACCAGGAGAAGCCGCGTGGTTTGGCTCTGGAGTACAGGATCGAGGGGTGGGTTTGGAGCAGAGGTCCCCGGGGACGCGGGGGGGACAAGCGTGGCCCCGCTGGGGACCAGGACTCACCGTGAGGCAGGTCGGCCGTCAGGTGCGGCATCATATAGCTGCGGACGAGCTCCCACCCAAAGTCATCGTCCTCGCCCTGGCTGTACTCGCACTGGTTTGGGTCAGCGTCCTCCTCAAAGGTGCAGCCGGCTGCGGAGAGAGAGACCGGTCAGTCCCTGCTGGCCCCCCAGAACAGCTGGTCCCTCCCCAAAAGCCCTGCCGGGATGGTGTGCTGCCCCCCTAAAATCCAGGGGGACCCCAGGCATCCCCCCACCTGCATCCATGAGAGAGGACATGGTCTTGCCTGCTGCTAATGCCCCATCAACCCCCTTCAGTTCCCCCACCAGTGAAACGAGCTGGCAGGTCTCAGCTCCCGGGGAGGTCTCAGCTGCAGGATGCAGCTCCCCGCTTTGCTTCTTGGGGGCCGGTCACCAAACGGGGGGTTTCTCCCAAGAAACAGGCGCTTGACTGCAGGGGTCACACAACGATTCACAAGACCCTGAGGACTCCTGCAAAAAATCCTGCTTTGACCTCAACCCTCTGCCTGCCCGCCTGTGCTTTGACCTTGAGCTCCTGGGGGTCTGTCCATTGCCTGACACAACAGCGGCAGGTCTCAGCCAGGACCTCCAACAACCCGCAGCAGTCACACCCCTACAAATGCATCATCGAACCCCCCCAGCTGCAGGCTGCCGCTTCCGAGCCCTTTTATTTCTCTTTTGGGGGTTTGGGGTTGTGTTTTATCCTTTGCAAAAAGCAAAGCCGAAAGCCCCACACCACCTCCCTGCTCTGCAAAGTGTTCGGCTGGGCACGGAGAATCGGAATAAACACCAAGAAGCCGCTTGTCCCCACGTGTACTGAGGCAATGTGGAGACCGCACACTGAGACGCCGGCCGGGCCCCCATCCCGCATCCCGGCCCCCATCCCGCATCCCGGCCCCCATCCCGCATCCCGGCCCCCATCCCGCATCCCGGCAAACCCGGAGCTCTGGGGCTGGCTTTGCCCATGGGGCCGCTCCGGGCCGGTTCGCTCACACTGACCTATTGTTCCATTAAACCCACAGATTACACGCGGACCAGGGCACCAGCGCTAATTAATCCGAGCCCCTGGGCTGACGAGGGCAGGCACATTAAGAAAGCCCTGAGCAAGCGGAACGAACAAAGGCAAATATCCCCTAATGGGCCAGCATGAAAGCAGAGCCTGGCCGGGGAATTATTTCTTCTGGGTTTTTTCCTATTTTATCCCCAAATTACATCAGTAATTCCCCCCGCCACCCGGGGATTTGCCTGTTAATGGCCTCGCTGCTGCCAGTGTGGGTTGTGCTTCCCCATGCTGGGGGATGCTCAGATGTGTCGCTTGTGCAAACACAAGTCCAAACACTGGAAAAAAGCCCATAAGATGCCCAGAAAATTATGATTCCTGACACTTTCACACATAAAAACAGATTTGGGGCTTCCCGCCCCCCCTTTTACATTTATTTTTTAAAGCACCAGGGTGCACTCCAGCTCCATCACCGAGGTTTTTGTTTCCCAGAACCACAAGAAACTTCTTTTTAAAAAAAAACTAAAAGCAAATTCTTTCCTACTCATATGCCTGGCAGCACCGAGACCTCACAGCTTTCTTAAAATCCTTCCCGAAATGGAGCGTCTGCCCGGCCCACGTGCGAATGTGCCCCCGCACCGCAGACCCTGGGCCTCGGCTCCTTCGGCTGTCGCCACGAGACACGCTGGATTTTAAAGAGTCTGAAACTTGGCTGTGCTTTCTAATGGGAGAAAAAGCACAAATCTGTCAAAATTTTCCAGGAAGGAAAGAAAAAAAAAAATTTTTCAAAATAAAACAGTGTCAGAAACTAAGTGCCAAGTGATTTAAAAAAAAAAAAAAAAGCCCAAGTGTTTCTTACCAAGATCTGCTGAAATGGGATATTCTGGGAGGGAGAAATTTGTTCTCAGTGTTCTTAGGTTTTTTTTGGTCTGAGAAACCAGAGCGGAGACAAACAGCGTTTCCGGCTGGCAGAGCCCCATTTCCCAGGGAAAAGCAATTCCTTCACCCCCAATAAACTATTCCCAGCCACTGACAACCTCAGGGGAGATATAACCTCCTCCTCCAGGGCTGCATGTCCACCACCCGCATCCCACTGCCATCCCCAGAGCAGCCACTGGTACCAACTGGTCCCGTGCCTCGGTTTCCCCACTGCTCCAATCACCCCAAAGCTGGATCCTCAGCCACCTATGAGACCGTGCCCAGGGTCCAGAAGCTTAAAATGCAATTACTTGGAGTAGATATTCTGCTGGCAGAGGCACAGCTGGCCGAGCCGATCCGTCTCCCTCCTCGGACAGGTTTATTGTTATGGCTTTTCCCGGCGCGAGCTTTCCCTCCCATTCGCTCCCCCCATCCATGGCACGAAATGAAGGCAGCTCGACCAGCCGCTCCATCTCGCCAACAAATTTGTCTATGATTTGTATACACAGGGAAAAAATAAAAAGGGTTTTGCAGAGCCTTGATTTCCATGAGCTATGGGATGCTTTTAGCACCATCTCTCCTCATCCAAGGGCAGGGCTGGGGAGAAGCTCGACCTCCAGCCCCTTCTCCCTCCCCATCACAAGATTAATAGGGACATAAAAATTAACATCTGAGCAATCAATTGCCAACATCCCAGCTCCAGAGGGGGTAGCTGTGGGTCCCCCAACAGCCATGGCAAGTCAAAGGGGGTAAATTCAGAGTGGCTTTCAAATAATTAAGGTTTCATTAACATGTTTGCAAGGAGGGCAGGGAGACTGCAACCCAAAATACCCATCTGCAGCAACAGGGATGGTTATACCCATCCGAAGGGCTAACGGCAGCGGGATGTGGTCTGCGGGAGCCAGCCGGGACCACTTTGGGTCCAGATGCTCCCTAAAAATCACCTAAAAGGCAGAAACAAGGAGCCCCCAATTCCCAGCCCCTGCGCTGGCTGGAGGCCAGGGTAACAGCAGCTCTGGGCGGTGGGATGAAGGCAGCGAGTGTGGGAGGTGCGATTCGAACATGAGAGCGGCTAAAAATATTGCCGAGGGCGTGACGGTCTGCTCCCCGAGGGCGCGATGCATCCGAGAGGATGCCTGAACACCCCGGAGTCGCCTAAACCTCTCCAAACCCAGAGCCTGCCCCGACGCACGGCAGGCACCCGTGCCAAGGATGAGACGTACCCCGTTAAACCCCCGCGGGGCAGCCCAGCACGAAGCCCCCGCAGCACCGCGGCATGCCCAGGCAGAGGGGAAAAGAGGGGCAAGAGCTAACATGGGGGTTAACCACCAGATGAACCAAAATTAAAAAAAAAAAAAGAAAAAAAAAGAGGTGGCTTGAGGAATTGGCCAGGGAAACAGGTACTGGTGCTGCTCAGCATCCTCCCTAGGTACCGCTGCCACCCAGCATCCCCACCCTGGGTACCGCTGCCTCCACTGTGGCACCACAGCATGTCCACGCAGACAGGAGCAAAGGGGTAAGTGCCAACATGGGGGTTAAACACCAAATAGACCCATTTTTTTGAAAAAAAAAAAAAAAAAAAAAAGAGGTGGCTTAAGGGATTCACCAGGGAGACAGGTACCGGTGCTGCTCAGCAGCCCCCAGGTACCGCTGCCACCCAGCATCCCCCTCCCTGGGGATGGAGAGGAGGGAAGGCAGGGAGGGGGAAAGGAGGAACGAAGGATTTGCAAAGAAGAGGGAGGAAAAGAAAGACCAAACAACCCAGTACAATGGACGGCATCTAATTAAATCTCCGTGGCCACTGAGGAATGTGGCCGCCTGCCCACCAGCCCACCCGGCGCTCTTTCATCCACCGAGTCTAAGCTCTTCCCGCTTCAAAGTTAATTATACACTTAAACCTTTTCTGTTTAACCTCCTGCACTGTGGGACATGCTCCACGGGCTTTTCTTTTATCGAGCAGCCTTGAAAAGGTTCCCGTGCTAAAGGGCAGCCCAGCACCATCCATGATGGGATCATGATGGGATCGCATGCTCCTGTACCCCGAGGGGGTAATGACACTGCCCAGGCCCTTCAGGACATCATCGGATGAGGATGCCACATGGATAACATGCCTAAGTGTGGAAAGGCTTTATAAAAAAAGGGTTTATACCCAAACTTTAGCAAGCACAGGCTCCCCAGAGCTATGAAATTCAGGGCAGGCACCTAGGACTCCCAGTCCAGGACGAAGCAAAGCCAATCAATGGGAAAAAGCCTGGTTTGCTCCCGTCTTGGCTTAGCAGGACTGGATTAGCCCCACAGTCATCTCCGGGGTGCAGCATCTTGAGGGCACAAGCCCCCGGGCACCCCATGCTGCACGGCGCAGGCATCATCTGGGCAAGCTGACACAGGTGACCTTTTGGATTCATTTTCCACCCCTGGCCTTTTCCTGCAGCTCCTGCCCCCCGTCCTGGGTAAG